AATAATATTTATAATGTAATATTATTATTTAATAACGTATATATATAAACCGCATGAAACCAGAATTGTCGACAGATACTTTACGGTTCGCTCATCATATGAAACCAGAAGTGTTTTGTTGGAGTGCCCTGAGAATCTGCTCTGGAAGAAGAACCATCGTTTTCGAGGTCTTCAACGTATCAAGATTTTTATGCAGCTGGTTTGCCGCGGTAATTTGATGACCAATGTTGAGCATGTACAGACACACTTTACAATGAGTAGCCACTGTCCAATTTGTTCTGCGGGTGTGGAATATATAAACCGCATTCTTCGTTTATGCCCAATGTTTATTCTGTTTGGGGCAACCTGCCCCGGAGTTCGAAGAACTGCTGCAATCTGATTGTGGCAGATAAGATTTTGTAACGTTGGTTCCCCATTATTTTACCCAAAAAAAAAACTTATCATTGATGTATTAATTATTACTACAATTTGAATTTTTTATAAAATATTTTTAATTTTTAATTCTCAGGATTTTAGAAAATTAAGTCAAGATATTTTTCAGTGTAACTCCACTATCTATGTAATTTTAAAATTTAAAACATGATGATTTGCAAGGCCTTCAATGTACAAATTTGTTCACCTAACTGACCTCATCTCCATAGGGGTGAACAAGATTATGGTCCCAAGTGTTGGGTCTCAATTTTACAGCTTGAGCATCACGTGTCTACAAGTGTCGAATTATATCCAAAATAAATGGCCGTGGTAAGATCACGTTAAATTGCTTCTACTTGACCGTGTAAAATAAGTTAAATTGAACTGATTAAGTGATCTCGGTAGTAAGGCCAACATATTAAGAAATAAGTTAATTTGCAGGAACCAAGTAATCCTGATACTAAAAGAATTGTTGTTATTTTTTGAAGTCTCGAGTTCGAGCACAAAAAATATCAAGAGTGTGTACGTTAAATATCAAATGATGAAGAATTATCTATGAACACATATTACTTTATATTTACTCTAAATTAATATAAAAAAATAATGAATTGGCCAATTATACACAGTAGCCATAGAAAGAACAATACGAACAGTAGTAGTCTTGACCACGTCAAATTATAAAAGTTTATTTTTTTTTAAACGGTTGATGAAATGAAATTATTTATGATTACGATAGACAATTCATTTCTTTTAATTTAGATAAGAGTCGTATCGGTGAGAAATCGTCAATCAGTAAATAATATATGATTAGATAATTAGGGGTTTATTGGTTCTATTTGATATTCTATAAATATTTTCATCATCTCTGTTTATAGAATTATCATATATATTTATGGTCTGTATATTCTGTTGTTACGTTTTAATGTTCACCCGATATTTGCTTTGTTAAATTCTATTAGTATTTTGTACATATTTGTTATGTTAATTTTTCGCTGTTCCGCTCGAATCAAGTGGTAAAGGAATTATTGTTAGTCTTTGGTGACTTAGATTCGAGTATCATAGTCAGGGATGTGAACGTTCAATGTCAATAGTTTGAAGATTTATCTTTAAACATATATTATCTTATACCTACCTTATATTAATAAAAAAAATCATTGTTCTCGATTTGGTACTTGTTTTTTTCGAAGCTTCAAATCACACGGAGCTTGTTAGTTGTTTCTGATTTTTCTCGTATTTCTTTTATAGATAATTTAAGGTGTTAGGATCATATTAACATTTATTGATCAAAATTTCGTATATTAAATATATTTGCATAATAATTTTATTTTTCTCTCTTGTTTCATTTTCTTAAAGGATAAACTATGTTAATGATCACTAATGTTTGAGTAAATTTTTGTTTTCTCCACTAAAGTTTTAAACGTAACAAATTGGTCACTAATGTTATCGATTTATAACAAAACGATTACTCCCGGTTAACAACAGTTACTGTTGTAACGGAATCCTGACGTGGAGACGTTAAATCGATGATCTAGCTCTATTTCTTCATACATTTAACTTCTAAAGCTTTTGACCGGGTTTAAGAAAAAAAATTGAAAGAAAATAGTTTCTCATCTCCGTTCTTCTTTTCTCTCTCGTCTACAAACTTTCCAAAGCCATTCTAAAACTTCACATGCTTGAAATCGTAATGAAAGAAATAAGTCGAATACTTTACCCACTCATTCTCTGCTCTGTATTGGAAAAGAAAAGGAATGAGGAGCATCTTCATGAAATATTGAAATCTCCATCTCCTACGAGGACCACTCCTCCTGGTTCTCCACTTCACTATACTTTCACCGACTCACTCATGGAAGAAAACATCGAAGCTGTTGAAACTAGCATAAATAAATGAGACTCATTGTATGACAACAACAATGCTTCCTACTGTAACATTACTTCTCTTTTCTCTGAAACCAATCGGGAGGAAGCGAACAATATTTGAGTTCGGTTTGCAGAAAGTTATGCATTACTTGGCTTCACACCAATTCAGCTCCGATCAACTCGTTCGTGCTCAAATGCTTATGCAAATTGCCATGAAACGCCTCGAGAGGGAGTTTTACCAGATTTTGAAGAATTACCTTGACCCTGAATCTGTCTCCAATCACTCATCTTCTAGATCATCGCTTTTCAGGTCGAGCCTTTTAGATTTTGAAGAATATGAGTCTGAGAATGAGATTGAGTCGATGAGTTGACAGTCGACTGAAGCGTGCAAGATGTTCGATGAGTTGCTTGAGTCGGATGTTATTTCTTGGACTTCTATTATTTCGCTCTCATGAGGAATGATTTGTATGTAGAAGCACTGCGGTTCAGCTGACTCGGTGTGTTATTTTTAAGGAAAAGGAAAGTGAAAGGATCATTTTATAAAAAAATTCAAAAATAATCCAAACTCTAAAAAAGTAGCTCAAATTAATATAGTGTATAAAATTTTAAGGATTAAAATAATTATTATATTAAAGGAAAAAAGAAATTAGAGGTTCATATACTTTTAAAAGAATCAATGCTACCCTCATATTATTAGTTCTCTCAATGTGACCCTCCAACTCAGAAAATAAACTCAATATGACTCTTTAACTAACGTTTTTCATCTTTGACTATTAAAGTACTGTCGTGGCGGTCTACAATGTCAACATGGCAAACCAAGGTGATTAATGACGTGACAGATAAACTAAACTGGTAACTCAAACATGATAGATAGACTGCCTCGTCAACACCGTGAACTGTCACGTCAGCACTGTAACGGTCAATGACGGAAAATATTAGTAAGATGACCACATTGAATTTATTTTCTTAGTTGGATGGCCATATTGGTTTTTTTCAAAAGTACAGGGACCTCTGATGTCTTTTTGCCTATATTAAACCATATTATTATTTCCATTAAAAAGTAACGGAAACTTAACGTTAATGACCAGAAAAGTAAAATAAATGTATCATTAGTAATGAATTTTAAAAAAATAATGAAGTAACCAAAGTAGAAATATAATAATATCGGTGACTAAATAAGTAGTTTCTCCAATAATCAAATGAGTTTGAAATTGTTAAGGACCAACTCAACTGGGCTCATATATTAGGGCTTACATAAGAAAAACAATTCCTCTCTTAAACCCTGAATCAAATTTGGTTGTTTATAATTATACAATATTTTTTTATAAATATAAATACAGTTGTACAATACAATATTTGTTGGGTAATTTGAATTTATTAAAAAAGAAGAAGCTAAAACTATCATTTTTCATAAGAGCAGGGAGCACCTTAAAGGCTGGCTGGCTGGCTGGCTGGCTTCCACCAAAGCTAAAGGCAGGCATGGAAGTAAAAGGTAATATATAGACACCATGACAGCAATCATCTTTCTTTCTTTTTTTTTTTTTTTTTTTTTTGTAGTATATGGTGATTATAAGATATAAGGTAGTATATGTTTAAAATTTTCTTAATCGATCGATAATACACTCACGATATAAATGCAACTATTCGAATTTAAAGTCTCTAAAAATAATATTTGTATTTTATCACTGAAACCACTTAATGCCTTCAACAACTATCACCATTAATTGCTTGTTTAAGAATATGGTTAATTAAAAAAAAATCATTTTTATACATTAAATTGTATTGTATGTAATATTTGCAAAATTTATGGAGGCATTTCAAGGTGAGACCTTTATGAACTTTACAATCCCAAAAACCTTTTTTTACAAAGATTCCAAATTATTAGTGAAGAAAGGGCAATGGAACATCATGATTATCACCATCTCCAAATACGGTAGAATTAGTTGGACCAAAAACAATATTACTTCGTTTGTCTCAATGATGTATGTAGATCTAGCATGCTGCCTCCCCCATTATATCTCACCATGGACATGCCTCTGCCATTAAAAAACTTTATTATTTCTTCCAATTTTTCATCCCCCTTTTTCTCATGTTTTGTTGTCTGATGCATAGTCCATTACATCTCCCAATTCTACAACATCCCTTGATTGAATTAGGGTTTTATCAAATAGTTCCTAGACAAGATTAGCCATGTAAACGTAGCATACGTCAGGGCAGGAAATTTCCAAGAGAAAACTCAAGGAATAAAAAGCCATGGGGATCATGACAAAGGGATCTGTGGGTATAACACGTGCTCAAGATCTAGTATGAAAAAGAAGCGTGGGATTGGGAAACATTTGTAAAAGAGAAAGTGGACCAAGGCATTCTTAACTCGGCCTCTTTTTAGGGACTCATAGGTAGCTTTCATGGAACCAATAATACAAGGGCAAAGGATATGAAGATACAACTCTGGTTTGTGTCACTTAGCATGGGAGAGCAGAAAGAGAAGAAAATCCGGGCAAAAGTTGAAAGAACACATGACAGATTGTTGGATTTGGACCATATTGATTCAAAACACATTTCATAAGATGATGAACATGGTGTGAACGCTTGCATATATTATTTGATTATTCGAGTTTCTCTGCAACTTTACTTAATTTTGCTGTTGCATTCACTTATCATGTCCCTACATAATTATACATGTAGGAAATAGTGCTTTTTTTTTCTTTTTTCCTTTCTGCATCACTGTTTTTTCTTTGTCTAAAGAAAAAACGTAAAGTTAACGCCTTCTCTATGCTTTTTATTGTCATTCAGTTTAACTACGAGTGTTAAGCTACTTGCCTTGCAATACTTGAATGTCTTAGCCTTTAGCTTTCTTTCTTTCTTTTTTTCATATCCCCTATGTTTGATCCTTTGCTTCCTTGATCAACTTCGACATATGCCTATTAAAGCGAGCATTTTGATATTTATACCCTTTTTCGATTTATATGTTTTCTGTCTTGTCCCTGAAGTAATCTCTGCTAAGCTGGTCTCTTCACACTTTGGAGCTCCATTTTAGTTACACGATGAAGAGAAGCCATGAAAGAGAGAGGCAAAGCTGTGGAAGTATATAACAACAACATTGATTTCTTCCAAGACTACACTTCCTCGGATGTTGTTCCATGTAGGAAACATCCACAATGCTCTGCGACCGGTATATGTGCGTATTGTCTCAAGGATCGTTTGATCAACTTGGTTTGCTCAGACTGCGGCGAGCAGCGTCTCTCGTCTTGTTCTTGCTCCGAAATCGCCACCAACCCTCGGAATTCCTGCGCCGGTGGTGAAGTAGGCAGTGTTGGTCGTGTTTCATTCTTGACAGAGAATGAAAACAAGGATCAAGCTGTTCAAAACCCCAAGGCTAAAAGCAGCAGTAGTAGTAGGAATAATAATACGAAGCCAGACGATGTTTACTTGCTCAAGAGAAGCAATAGCAGCTGTGTTGAGATCAAGAAGAAGAACGGATTCTGGAGAATTGGGAGGTTTTTCAAGAAAAAGAGGGGCAAAGAGACTAACTGTGGGAAGAGTGTGTGTGGAGTTGATGAGAAAAGTGATTTGTGGGTGGTTGATTGCATGGGGGTGTCAAGGTCAAGGTCTCTTCGCAGTTTCAGAGGTGGTGGGTTCTTTGGATCAGAAGATGGAAGTGACTTGATGAACTGTTCGGGTGCTAGGAGCTCCATTTCGGCCGCTCGGAGTTCCGGTGTTAATGGTGGTCTGGTTTATGATCCTGAGAGGAAAAGTGGGTTCAGTGAAGCAGAACCAAGGAGAAGTGGTTTTGACAGTGAAAGAAGAGACAGTACTTTTATAGAGTCTGATATTGCAGACATTAGAGCCATTAGAAAAAGTGGCGCCGGCCTCGGCGTTGGGGGTGGTTTAATGGATGTTGATGGTGGTTTTAGTGGAGCAAACAGAAGGGTGTTTTCTTTGAAAGAGAATTATTTCAATGGTGGAGATGATTGGGGCTTCATTGACCTAAAATTTGATTTTCAAGCAGAATCTAAAGGTGATATTCCTCCTAGTATGAAGAAGAGTGTTTTGTCTGGTTTTGGCAGCATGAGAGAAGCTGGTGAATTTATGCCATATAAATCCAGTGGTTCCATTGAGAATGCACTGCCAATACCTGGAAATGGAGCCTTAAGCAATGGGAGTTCATATCAGATGGCAATGGATGAAAGTGGAATCAGAAAGAAGAATAGATATTTCAAAGGATGGAGGTGGATTTTCAAAGCTCCATCAAGATTGGACCAATCCAGGGAAGAAAAATGAAACATTGAAGCCCCCTCACAGTGTTTGGACTCTGTTTTTCTTTCTTCATTTACATATGTAATTTTCTTCACAATACTTTCCCATTTCTCAACCTTTTGTTTAAGCCTTTCAAGTTGATCAAATCTTTTAACATGATTTTCAGAAATGGATGATTAAAGAACCGAAAACAGAACCAAAAATGTTTTGTATTTATGATGAGATTTATGAAATTGCAACTTACAAATTGGCCAATCAAGCCTTAAAGAATAGGTGGGTAGTGGTGGCAGCCGGCAGCCACTTCCTTGTAGGGCTGCTATAGTGGCACTTCCCTCATACTAATATTGTAAAAGGTTACCCCATTTTCAATGGTTTCTCACCATCTCTAGTTTCATATAACGTTTCTATACTCATTAGACTACAGAAAAAAGATTTTGGATCGATCGCCATGCATGCTTATCACTCCCGCCTTATCATCCTCCTGAGATAGGAAGAAACCAAGATGCTTAATACCATTAGAAAGTAAAACCCAACAAAGCATTCTCTCCTTCCCCACACCGCCGGTGAACTTCTTTAATCCGATCAGCAGACTTGCAAATTCCACTGCAGGTCCAATCAAAGGAAGCAACACAGACATTGCCAGCTTGGGCCTTCCACTCGCAATCTGCATTTGGGGTCCATTTGTTAGACCAAAACGATATCATAATCTGTATCAGGCAACTTCACTTCTATACCAAGAATGGCTAAAGTATATATGATAGTGATCTATGAGAAATATGCCCCATTCAAATGAAACTATGAATACTCAGGTTTGGAAAAATCATGGCAATATCATGCCTAATATCTTTCAGCTACAAAGTTTTGAAGAAAGAAAAAATAACATTGTTCATACACAATTTAGCCGCTTCAGCCTTTCGGTGTTCACCATGCCATAGAATTGTGACGAAAATGACCTACAGCCAACTGGTCTATGACATGTGAACTAATATTCTTAACGAAGTAACTATACTTTCGAGTTACATTATACAACGTCTTCTCCTATGTAAACCAATCAAAATTCTAAAAGATTTGGGAGAATTTACCAGGTGGTGTGCCACAACATAATCTCCGATCATCAATATGCTCGACATCAAGTCCAATAAACCATGATCCCAGAGAAACATCCTCATTTGCATACTTGTGTAAAACATGCCTGACATAATCATGCATGTAATACAATCATAATTAGTACAGCAAACAATGGAAATACTCGAGAGGCGCCAGGCGCCTCACCATTTACACACAAGCTTCATTTAAACGCAAATCTTAGATCTTACTGATTAATCGATATATATGAGGCCAAATCTTTTGAAATGGCATACAACTGTCCAGTAGCATGACGAAAATATTTATTTCCTGCCTCACCAAATTTCCAGTGTTCAGGTTCATGGTATCTCACTCCCCTGTTCCATAACATAACAATTAAGAGAACCAGTATACTTTCTCAAGAAAAAACAATATATCGATAAATTTGGCTCACTTTTGAGAGAGGACGGGACCAGATTTCATGCACCCTATGTATACACGTGGATTCTTTTGGTGTCTAACTAGAGTTTCTCCGAGTGTCGCTGCATAAATTTAATGGGACATGAGGACTGAAAAAGCAAAGAACTAATAAAATTTTAACAAACACTTGATTACTGTTAACTACAATGAGTAGTATCATGATTCTCATTGAAAACACATAAGCATTGATCTTCAAGCACAAAGGCTTTTATGTAACTAATCCTTTATGTAAAGGGTAATTATAACAACTAATCCTTTTTTTGTCTGATAGTAAACTTTACTTCACAGTAAACAAATCTCAAAACTTACCTATATTTACATGGACATCATCATCTACTTTGACATAGAAATCTGCATCCCATAAAGCGACAGCAGTTGCAAAGTATATCTTAGTTTTTGCAGACAATTCAAGGTACCCTTCAACATGGTCCTGATGACATGTAGAACACGTTACTCAATTTACTTATTTAATCTTTTCACACTGTAAATTGCCATCTAGAGTGTTCTTAAAGAACATCATTATAGCAGAATAGTCTATATACAAGAGATTAAGAGACTAAAACGGCCTACCAGTCTCAAGAAGTCTCCATGCTTCTTATTCTCAGCTTCAATTGCTCGGTCCAAAATACCACCCGTCGTGGCACTGGAAAATAATAATAAGAAAAGGAAAATCATGTTGAAGCATAAAATATGTTCTTAAATTTGTAATTGGGGATTGTTATTGTAGTCATTTCCACTCTTGAATGGTCATTGTCAGGCATCATATATAAGATTTCTGAAACAATCTTGAAATTTTTCGTATAAAGAATCTATACTAGTGAATTTATATGCTTATAGCAGAATTCATTAGGACACTGTGGAAGTGAAATCCGACTCTCATGTGGTTTCCATATATTTAAGGAGCAGTGCACGTCAAAGTTCAGCAACCAAAAATTAAAAGAAAGTGAATTAAACCCTACCTATGACCAATAACAAAGCGAATGATAATGCCCTTTTCATCCTCCAATTTCTTCCGCTTTTCACCTATTTTCCAGTGGTTTTAGGAAGGAAAACCACAACAGATTTAACTCGGCAATTCCAATGGCATAATTTGGGGAGGGAACTAATGTGTGTTAAGCGAATAAAGAAAAGGAAGGGTACAAAAAAGAACAATCCAACCTTGTGGTATCCATGTAGCACGAACCGAGTCTCTTCTTTTCCGGCTGCTAAAAGCAGTATTAATTCCTATAACCATCAGATACTTTCTTTTCCTAGATGATTTGGCTTTATTCGCATCTGTGGATAACGGTGAGCCACCAAGTAAGGACTCTTGTGCTGCCCTTGCAGCAACTAACTCCATCTCTAAGTTGGAAATAGTCTTATCCAATTTCCTACATCAGAAACGACCCTGTAAGTTTGTTGATCGATCAGCCACTTTAAAATCAAATAAACCATAGTTATGAAAAAGAAATACTTACTGTATAGCATGGTGAGTCTTAAAAACCTCCCCAATGATATCTTTGGATACATGCTTTTCTTCTTTCTGAAACAAACAAAGGAAGCCAATCGACCTAAAAACCACAAAACTTTGGATGCCTAATAAAAAGGTTTAGTACAATGCGATTACAATGCTCACAGCTTTTAGATTACAATCCTCAGAAATTAGTTTTTGCTTTTCAGCTTCCATTGCAGTTGCCCTCATGATACCTTTAGATTGAGGAACAGTCTCCACCCTGTTACTGATTTTACACATTAATAAGCCATCATTTAAGACTCAACAAAATCAACAAGCATACCACCATTATAAACAAATGAATCCAACTTTTTAACTATAACACAAATATTGAACTGTAAAACAAAATTCATAGATGTGCCAAAAGAGGATCAAAATTTTCAATGAATTCAAAGGTGATCGGAATTGTTTAGTACTTCATATCAATGATCTTCAAAGATTAGCTAGAAGCATTAAAAACACTTATTGATGTTTATATGCATCCACAATCTCATTCAAGAGTCCAAATTACAACTGCCAGATATTATTAAACCAATGTTACAGTTATCTATAGCATGTGTCAGAGTTATTCTTGCCAGGGAAATGTTTAAAAATGGCATGGATGGTAATTATGGAAGCAGATTTCATTGATCATTGAATGATAAGACAACAACCCTTTTTTTCCTTCAAATTTTATATAAAAATAGCAACCCTAAAAGGCTGGACCATAACAATGACTTGACAATTGAAACACCTTCACCAGAAACAAGAACATGTTGAAATCTCATAAACTTAAAACCAGAAGCTTGAATACAACTGCTAACAACAAAATCAAAATAAACCACATTTAGAAAATAAGCAAAGTCTAATATGAAAACAAGTTGGCATAGTTTCACCACTGAAATGAAGCATAATTTAGCTAAACAAAGATCTTAAAGCAAGGCTAAAAACAATCAAAATTTCAGAATTGAAGAAATGAAGAAATGAAGAAATGAAGAAATGAAGAAATGAAAAGGCAGAAGCTTTAAACTTTGAGAATCCAAGGAAACTGAAAATACCAAAAAATAAGGATAGTTATAAAATGGGTACCTGTTGGTGAAGAGCATTCCAGCACAGAAGCAGCCCAAACAAAGAAGAAAAGTCCATTTCTTTGATACAAAACTTCTAGAAGACTGCTCTCCTTTGCTTTTAAAAGACATTTTCGTAACCTTCAATCTAAATTATCTCGTGTTAATCAACCACTGGCCATCAAAAGAGAGAAAATCCCATATGTAAAAGTGGAAGCCCGAGGCAAATCAAAGTGACCCAATTGCAGAAAAATGACTCCCAGAGAGCTCCTGTTTTGAGGAGAAGAAGAGAGAGAGAGAGAGAATTAGAAACAGAGTGCTCAGTTTTTGGGGTTGATATTTTGTTCCTTGGTTTTTTTTTTTTAAATGGATTGCTTGAGCTCTTCTATCTATAGATTCTCTCTCAAATTCTCAATTGTGCAGGCATGGGACGTTGAATGAATACAAGAACGACACCATCTTTTTTCTTATACCGAATTTACAAAATTATCCTATTGGTTTTGTTGAAGGTGTCTTAACTAAAAGGTTAGTATAAAAATAAATGCACAAAATAATTTACTTCAATAATTAAAAGAATTATTGTTAATTTTAGATGTTATGGGTTCAAGCATCAACTATTACAATAAGATGATTGAGCATTATAACGTTACTATTTTTAAGTAATCGGTCGTAACTGTTGTTAAAAAAATTCTGACATATTTCACATTTTGATAATTTTAAAAAAATATTTAATTTTTTATCCCTAACTTTTTTCTCCCTTGCTACCAACAGCCACCGACATCGGCATCGCCATTGTCATCTCCCTTCTTGATCGTTGTCTTTCTTTTTGTCAATCGTACTGTCGGGCCCCTTATATTCGCGTAAAAGTCGTGTTTTTTTTTCTTGTCGTTGTTAGTTTAAAATCGCGATTAGAGGTTTATTGGTGGTTGTTCGTTAGGTAGTTGGTCGTCGAGTGGAGGCAAGGTTGGATTGGGTTTGGTCGATGGCAACGGTGAAGACAAATAGAAACGATTGACGTGGGTATAGATATTAAAATTAGTGTTTTCAAAGTTTTGGGGTTTTTTTCTAAGATTTGAGAAAACTTTACTTTTAAAAATATATTTTATGTTTTTATTTTAAATAAAAATTCTCAAAATCATCAAAACACGACATATGTCACTTATCAAATTTTTTTTAATGACGATTATGACTTGAACACCTAAAATGATAGCGTTTGTGATGTTAGGCATTTGGATTGACCGAAAAAATTTAAACACCTATTTAGAAACAAATGATATAATTTAGACACTTATTTTTATATTAAATCTATTACTTATAATAGTAATTAACAAATATATGTACCAATAAGACTTTAGTGAATGGAAATTTGAAATTTTGAGATAAACAATATTATCTAGAATAATAGTTATGGATTTTATATATAATTTATAAAATAAATAGTAAAGAAAATAAAATAATTTTATGTTTCATTTTTAATATTTTGATAGTAATTGATTACATCTTTTTGGCTAATTTGAAATTTAGTCGATTTTAATCAGATACAAATTTTAAAGCTTTTGATTATATCCAGATTTGGTTGTGTTATTTGTATCATTTTCGGATTGGATGATTTTAATTTAAATTGTAAATTTGGATTAAATAAATTTAAATTATTAATATTTTATTTCGGATTGGATTAGACTTTAAATGAGTGGTTTGTAGTTCGTTTATAACATAAAGTAACATTGGTTAGCATAGGGGTGTAAACGAGCCGAGTCGAGCTCGAGCTCGAGTATTGCTGAGCTCGACTCGACTCTAAAACTCTGAAATGGAATTAGACTCGAAAACTCGCGAGCTTAAAATTTTCAAGCTCGACTCGAACTCGAAATTCTAAACTGAAGCTCGTGAGCAGCTTGAAAAGGCACGAAATGAAAAAAAAAGTTCTTAAACTTAACTCGATTGAAGCCTCAAACTCGAACTCGAACCTGGACCTTAAATACATGAAAATCTTATTGTTTGTTTTTTTTTTAAATCAATACATAAATATTAATATTATTAATAATTTATTTTTAAAAAAATAAAACTTTAATATATTATATTTTCGAGCTGCTCACGAGCTTTTCGAGTCAAATATCAAGTAGCTCGTTTCGGCTAGTTAAGAACTCGATTCGAGCTCGAGCTTGAGTAGAGTCAATTAGATCTGAATATTTATCGAGCTTTGATCGAGTCGATCTCGAGTAGCTCGCAATCTGTCTCGTCCCATTTAACTCCCTAGTTAGCATACGATTATTTTATTAGGGGCTAATAATGAATTAAATTTATCAACTGAATTGATAATTTTTTTTAAAATGTTGTTAAAATTATCATACTTTAATTGCTATTTATTGATGTATTTTAATTATAAACATTTATATGATTGTAACTTAAACGAACACATGTGCAATTACATTTTATAAATGGGTAAAGTAAACAAAGGTCCCCCAACTATATATCATTGTTTTGTTGAGTCTTTTGACTATTGAAAGTTACAAAATAATTCTCCGACTACAGGGCATTACTTTGTTGAGTCTCCAACTATTAAAATTTACAAAATAGTCATCTAACTATTCATATATTTCAAATTCGTCAATTTCATTAAAAAATTAGTGATCGTCTGAATTAGACGTTAACATGCTCACTGGAATATGATAAAATATGATCATAAAATTATTTGAATTATATTTTGTGTATCGATTCTCTGTTTATATTATATCGTTGAACCAATGCTTGAAACATTATGTCATCGAGTCAGTGCTTAAAAGTAACAACAATGCCAGTAGTCATCATTAAAATATGATTTTATCATATCTTAGCTAATAGATTAATGTCCGGCTCAAATGATTGTCAATTTTTTAACGAAAATGGATGAGTTTGGAATATATGAATTGTCGTATGATCATTTTGTAACTTTTAATAGTCATGGGACTCAATAAAATAATATTCTATAGTTAAGAGACTATTTTATAATTTTTAATAGTTGATAGACTCAAAAAGTAATACTATGTAGTTGGGGGACACAAATGTTTACTTTACCCTTTATAAATATGGACAGAAAGCCAAACGCAAGAAGCTAGAACGGCTAGAACGGCATGTGATAATTGGCATAACAATCGAGCAGAAGACGTGGCCGAATGCAATTGGATAAAGGGCCTCACTAGATCTTGCGTCTTGTCTAGTAATCATGTGATAGTCACTGTTTTAGGTCACGTGGATGCTGCAAAAGAAAGAGGGTAACCGACGAGGGTATGGGTCCCATATCACGAGGTATCCTGACACGTGTCATGATGCGAGCGTTATTTTTCAGCTTTTACTTATTACCGTCCACTGAACAAAGGCGTAAACAGGGATATATGGAGGGGACGGGTAAGAATAATCGTTTTTTTTAATTTTAATTTTAAATTATTATATATTTTAATTTTTTTATATATGTTTTATTAAAATTTTGTTTTTATATTTTTTAAGTTTTGTATTTAAAAAAAAAATTTATTTTTAACTTAAAATTTATTTTATTAATTATTCGTAATTTATTTTATTAATTGATTTATTGAAATATATATTTTATTTAGTTATTTATAACTAAAAATAATTTTTATATTGTTTTTTATTTTTTCATTTTTTCTATTTTAAAGAGTTATAAAGATTTTTTTTGGACTTGTTATAAGTTTTAGAACTATTTTTAATTAAAAATAAACTTCTAAATTCTTATTATTTTAGATTTATTATTTTTTAAGATTTTAATATTTTTTTCAAAAATAAATTTTATGTAATTAGGTGCTATCATATAAACATTTTCAATGGTCAATAAAAAAACTATCACATCAACACTACAAATATTGCCATATATAATTAATGCCTTTCTAATTTTGAAACCTATTTGATTCTTGGGTAAAGTATACAAATGATAACTTTTAATAATCAGAACTCAATAAATCAATACTCTATAATCGAAAAATCAATTGTTTATTTTATTAATTATGTTTATGTGGACAATAAACCAAATTTCACTAAAAAAACAAAATTATTTACCGACTTCAACACTAATCAGATTGAATATTATATATGAGATTAATATTTAAAGTATCATAAAGAAACTTATCTGATTCACAAAATTATATTTCATGGATGGATCAAATGTCATACATTCTTCTTTCTATCTCTAAGCAAATGAGAGAATTAAGTGTTGAAATTCAACTTGGCAATGAAGAAGATTGATGAATATAAAGAAACTTTAGTCGCATGTTGGGAATGAGAATAAAAAAAGCTGGAAAAAAGGGGGTTGGGGGGGGATAGGTGCTTTGTTTGCTGTAGCTATACAACACTGATTTGTTCAAAGTTTAACTGCTTAAGCAAAACCCAGGCTGCACCACCTGTTGAGTGGTGCAGTCAGCAGCACATTGCTTTATCCATTTATCTTCCTTCTCACTCTCTTTGTTTAGATACCTCATTCAGATGGATTGTTGGTTGCTTTTGAATATTTCAGAAAAGAAAGAAAATGTTGCAGCAAAAAGAAGGAATAATTCCTATACAAGGCTCAGTACAAAACAAAAAGGTAAAAAGTAATAGTTGTATTGTCTCAAGTGAATAAAATAAGATTAACATGGACATTATAAAGCAAAGATATTGCCTCAAATCCATTAGCTGGTGATGAAAGGAGAAAAGCACTGTAGATATAAAATTTGGACTATTCCGTACTTGTCTCAACCAAACCCTCTATATCTACATTGTTTGTGTCCCATGATCACATGAAATCTCCAATATTTGTTCACAAATGGACCCTTTTTAAGCAACTTACTGGTTCAAAACAAACTATCGGGGAAGATTGTTGGGAAATAAACGAGAACAAGTAATTTCCCTATAACCAAATTAGTAAGAATGCGAAATAAAAGTGGAAAAATAATACCCGAAAATTGATAACGGAGTTCAGCTAATTGTGCTTACGTCTCCGGACTGCTGCAGATCTTTTACTAAGAGAGAAAATTTACAGGTGTTTACAAAACACTTACTACTCACAAGAAACTCTCTAGTATTGGGAGAAAGAAATGATTTGGGATTTGAGATGATTTTGAAGCTAAATGAGCTAGGGTATTTATAGTTGAAACTTAGGGACTAATCTTTGAAAATACCCTAAAGTGCAATGACTAAAGTGAATTTACCCATTCTTATTTTCAACAAACATCTACCAAACTTTACCAAACTTTAAAAAACATTTTTCAAAGAAACATTTACCAAACTTTGAAAAACATTTTTCAAAGTTGGTTGCCAAACTTTGAACTAACTTTTAACAATCTCCCACTTGAAGACTGATTTTAATCTGTCTTCACACCTCGATCAATGCAACAGTATTTCTGGTCTTGTTATTCTAGCATGCCAACTGAAGCTGAACACAACTTCAGTTTGTCCGTAGTCACCGTCTTGGTCAACATGTCTGCCAGATTTTGAGCTCCACTAATCTTTTCAAGTTTCA